AGGGGGGAGTAGAAATACTCCTAGTCGCTTCATGCTACAGAAACCGGGATAAGCTCCGGCCTGATGGGCCACTTGGCTCGCATGCAGACTTTACCTATAGACTTCATATACGTACTGTCGTCCTAATTGTAAACCCCGTTTTGTTCGCATAAACAAATATATATTTAGAAATTACTGGTTTCGCTCCTTAAAACCCTTTGAACTGATTTTTTGCTTTGGGTGTCTCTTTTAGCAAAAAGTAGAATTCACTTAATTTCCAGGCTACTCGACCTACTCTACCCTTTGTTTATTTTGCTCACACTTGTGTATTAACGAAATATTATTGGTCAAAACTCTCTGAAAGTGGTTCTGTAGGTAATAGCTTTAGCTAGCTTTGAGCTCTGCCGCCTGTTGGACAGTTCCGACGGCGTCTGATAACATAACCCCGAGGGCAAAATAGAACAGTAACTTCCCGATTCAGCCATTAAGTCCAAGCGCTTTTCTCACAGAGTGCAGTTATTATTGGTGGTCATGCTGTTTTACCGTGTCCATAAGCAAGACCGTCGATTTCAAAGACAACTACTTTCCACTATCCAGTTTTTTGGTAATAAACCAGACTATAAAGCAAATAAATTTTTAAGACTCGTTCGCATCTCGTTCGTCCAGCGTTCACAGCCATAATTCCCCACGGCCTGCCATCAGTAAATGAATCGGACTGCGTGAATTGTTCAAAGTGATTGCCGTACGGCAATCGGGAGCGAACGTCTTAGCATAGAGAACTCGCTTGCAGGTAAATCGTAAAAACAAAAAAAAAACAACAAAAAAAACAACTTGTCTCTTTTTGGCAGCTCGCTTCAAAACCGAAGCAAATTGCGGAACGATGTGTAACTCGGAAATCCCCGTTTGCAATTCGGCCACAGAAGATAATCGCCATTAATACAAACTGGTAGATTTCTAGGAAGTAGCCTGCGAACCGGCTCCCGGTAAGCCCGAACGAAGCGAGCGATTTGGTGGGTTTTGGGTTGACTGTCACGAAATAAGCGCTTTGGGTGACACTTCGTCACAACATGTGTGCAAGATTATTTAGTCCTCGCGATAAGTCGAGTTGTTATTTACCTTGACACAGGTTAAGTTCAATATTCATTCACACGATATCCTATGTCTTAATGAATGTTTCTGAGAAATCTGCCTCCCGATCCTCCTTCAAACAAGGCAAGCCTTGAACTGTGTTTATATGCTCTCATTTCAACTACAGCTGAACATGCCGGTGTTTATTTACGACCAATCCCTACCGCATGTTATGACGGAAATTTCGCGGTTTCCTCTAGTATTTACATATACATATATAGTAAATACCACCCGTTATAGTCCCAAAGGGCAACATAACTCCAGGATTTCCTGATCAGAATCAGCCGATAAGCTGACCAGTCTTATTCATGCATTGTACACGTGCGTAGGATATTCCCTATCACGTGCTGCGGCAGAGAGGTTTCATCATTCCACCCACAGCAGCCGTCCAAGCTACTGTAAAACTACAGGAAGGTCCTGGAAACGTTAATTTCCTGATGAAATAAACAGACCACTAAATTTTATCTGGCTGTACTGGACTCAGTGAATTTACGCGCACGAGTTGACTGAGCTTCTAATCTTCACATGACTTTAGAGATTCGCCGTCTCTCCTCACCCCCCCCCCNCCCCTCCTCCCCCCCTCCCCCCATCAAGATGGTACTGCGTCTTTTTAATCCATTCAATCCCAACATCAATACACTTCATTTCCAGGTTTCTGTTCACAACGAGTTGATATGGAAATGAGATATTAGAAGGTGATCTCACTTGAAATGCAAGAGGTTAAGACTTTTGAAAGTAAGGTTTTAAATACCACGTAGAGAATTTAGGAAAATTCTTATTGAAGTCTTAACTTGAAGTTGTATCCAAGGTACTAAAGTAATAGCTCACTGTGACGTCTGACATTTGTTCCACAGTTAGTCTTTTTCTATCAAACTAAACAAGACCGTACTGGTTGTTCTAAACAATTTATACACGAAACCGTTCGGAGGTCAATAGTTCAGTCTGGCTCTATGTGTGGAATTCATTACTACACGCAAATTGGCGGGCTAAGGTTTGTCTGAGAACACGTCCGGAAGAACCGCATTGCGCAACTACTACAGGCTGACATATTTGCAGAGATTATGCATCGACAAGTAAGATCTAAAGAAAACCCATGCTACGAAATGAGCAGGGCTCATGGAACTCCTCGTAGCCTCCACAAGGCTGATGGCGACAAGGAAAACAAAACAACCGGAAAGGTTAACAAAACGAAACCAAAGTCCACACCGACTATAACGGGGCAAAAAGAACTCGAGAAGATTGTCGAGATTCGTCAATTCGACATGAGTTACGATGGGGGAGTATATGAAGTCATCAGCAACTCTGACGCCAAAACACTTCCACAGGACAGAGAGCCACGGTTTGGGAATAACCACAGGGACGCAATGTACGACACATTAAACACGATAACACAAGCAACGCAACAGCAAATGGATTTATTTCGTCGTATGATGTATCTCATGACGGTGCTCCTCTTGATAGTCTTCCTGACGGCTACAAGCGGCCTAATCTTGACTGTCATGATGCTCATGTCGGACAACACCTTGAGTTCGAATCAGCCCACTTCCTCGCCAGGTATGTCACTTAGCGTCAATGGCATGCAAGTTGCAACAGTACGATTATTGTATCAATCAGGTCATTTAAGGACAACCCGGCTTGTTGCAATTGCCTTCAATAGTCTATAATTTGCTCGAAATGAGACATTTTGGAGAAACGTTAACTAAATAGCAACACGGGGTCGAAAAACTGAAAAGTCGTCAACGATCGCTATTTTTGAATTAGCCTTTCAGTAAACAAGCTCGCAAGACCAATTCAGTGTTTCCTGTGTGTGAAATGTGGTAGTTGATCGAAGCAAGGTCTCCAAAAGGAAGATGCGAAAAGATACTTTTTGTACGTGACATCGCCAAAACTGTACATATATAACTTCCTTTTATCTATTATAAGCCGATATTTTAACGTATGGCCAACACCAGTCTCACTGATTACTACCTGTGAAGATTTCTGTTTACAGTAGAATGCTTCGTTTTTGGCCGAGAAAAAGCGTTTTGAAATCTGACATGATCTGAAATGTTACAGAAATTAACACTTTTAGCTTCTCAGTTTAATACACTGTATTCTAATCACTTGAAAACGATAACTTTAACATGTGGAACTGAAAACTCCTGTCATTGGCAGCAATTTCTTTTCTTCTTGAAGACCCGCCACGTGGCAAAGCAACACAAGATTATAGCGGACCCATGCAAAGTTCTGTAATTTCCGAAACATTGCTTTCAACGATTTGGTTGCGGTAAACACTGCTAAGCTAAAATTTTGGCTGTTTGTTGTTCCCCATCTACTCTAAAATCTCCGTCTTTGTTCTTGACGTTTTCAATGGATGCACTTGAAAACGATCTTGTCATTTAGTAAAAACGATCCACATTAACTTTCGCTCGAGGTTAAGGTTAGTTAGAGCGGAAGCTGAGGGGGCTATTTTCATAAGCAAGACAGCGAAGAGTATCTGGCTCCATTCACTACCAAAACGGATAGCAATTATGACAAAAACTGTCCAAAAGCTTAGAAAAAGCTGGCGTAAATTTGAATTTCCGAATTTTTTGAGAATTGTTCAAGAGCAAACACACCGGCAGCAATTTCGGCGGACCTGGGAGTTTCTACCGCTTTCAACAAAGTATTTCTCCACTTTGCGGAGATCTCGATTTTTTTCTGTTTTCGTAGATCCTTTGTACCCTATCCAGAACCAATACCCAAATTCCAACTGAATCCTGGCGGTGGGGGTGGTGGTGGTGTGGGGGGAGNGGGGGGGGGTGTCGGTTTGTACCATGGCGGATGCATAAAGAATGATGATAATCATTGGAAAATTTTTTTAAACATGACCTGTGTGGAAGTCCAGGCGCGAGGAGTAGGTCTCTTGTAATACTTTTCATGAGTCCACAAGAGACCTTTGTCATTTCTCAGGAATTTTCTTTTTGACTTTGCGTCTGATTTTCTTAAATATTTTAACTACTGCTGGCCAATTCTGATCCTTAACCTGGGACAAGCACAGCTCGAAAATCCTTAAGTGACTTATATTTTTCTTTATCAAGGAACTGACAACAATGATACTTTTCATCTAAACGTCACGTTCGCCATCTTGATTTTACCCTTAAAACAATGAAGTCGGAACGTCCTCCTTGTTTGGGAGGTGCGTCTTATTTCCTTTTTCATCTATGCGACTAAATGGCGGTAAAGATAATGAAGTAGCAAATTTAAGGACAATCCGTTACAGAAAAAAAAAAAAATAATAATACCCGATGTCTTATGTTGTTGAAGTTTTGCTGCATTCTTTCTTTAGAAACTAAAGGAAGTACATCGACCAGATGTGGAGAAAGTACGTTACTCCAAGAGTTAAAAGTGAAGATATCAGAACTAGAGGAAGCATTGAATATCTCTCGCTCGCAGCTTGACCAGCTTGGGGTCAAACTAGAGACACAAAAGAGAGCTATAGCAAACTTCACGACTCAGGTAAATACAGTTGAACAGCTATGAATTGAATGGACCTTTCCGGCGATACGGCGGCCAATTTGTATTCTGTTGTTTTAAATAGCTATTATGGGATACTCGGGGGCAAGTTAGAATGTATTTATCACCCACCCCCACCCCCTGAGCATCCCATAATAGCTATTTGAAACTATAGAATACAAAATGGCCGCCTTGTCGCCGAAACGGTCCATTCCGACCCCTAGGTACGCCAGACAGAAAAGTGTCGTCCCTGAGGGGGGAAAAAAATCAGACTTGTTTACATTTTGTTTCCTCGCAAAGTATAAGCTTTTTATACACCGTTTTCATTAATAAGAGTCGTATTCAATTCCGTGCAAACTTCACCAATCGCTACTCTCTTTGTTGTTTGCAGGGATTAAGCACTGGTCCACCGGGCCCCGCAGGTCCCCAAGGACCAATTGGACCTCGCGGCTCTAAAGGGCCACCAGGGCTTATGGGACCTAGGGGCTTCAATGGCACTAAAGGGAATGTAGGACCTATGGGCCCTAGAGGCGTAAACGGAACTCATGGCGCACCGGGCTCCCCTGGGCCCCGAGGACCAATGGGTCCCAGAGGGATAAACGGCTCTCAGGGCCCATCAGGGACCCCTGGAGTTCAAGGATTAATGGGCCCTCCTGGATATAACGCTTCACAGAGCAGCTCTGGAGCCTGGAATGTGAGTCGCTGTCGGTACACGAACAAAAAGGAAGCTGCACAGACGGCCGGCCAATCAGCTACCTCAACAGTTATTTTGCGAGAAGATGACCATTCGGTACAACTGAGATTCAGTTTACTTGTATAATTATTCATGTATATTAGGGCACACAATCAACACAAACAGGCGAAGAGTTCGAGTTCGTGGAAAAAAAAAAAAGAAAGAAAGAAAGAAAGAAAAGAAACAATAACAACAAAAACAGCCTAAGTGGCTTCACATGCATTTTCATCATTCACGAAAACATCTACGCAATGCGCTATCCTTGAAAGAACTACGTACTATGTCTATAAAATAACCTGAGATGGACTATCTAGGGTAGAAGTTCTATATGGGGGTATTACTCTACCGTACCCTTAATCCTCTGTTGAAGCATGGATTTAGCAATTGTGCAACACATCAAGTTATAGATTCAGCGCGGTTTTTTTTACGTATGAATAATGAAAGCAAGGTGACTTCCCCGACATTGAGATTCGAACAAGGTTTGTAAGACATGCTTATTGCTTCTTTTCAGGGCATGAAGATTGTTGGCGCCACGTGTTCAACAGAAAGAGCCGCAGAGTACGCTTTCCAGGATGGAGAAATTGACCCGAGTACAAACACGATTGTGTACCGTTGCATTTGTAAAGGAAATTCAGGGCTGTTTATTCATGGTCCTAACAAAATGGTGTGCGTTATTCATTACTGGATCTGTCCCTTTACCAGTTAAAAAAAAGTATCATGTAAAAGCTTGAAGATGATTGTGTGTATATCCTTTAAATTGCAGTGCTAAGGATTAATTTTTTGCACAAAGTAAATAAGTAAATGATCAACGGCATTGACATAAAGTTTGCAATCCTCTTTTTCAGGGAGTAGACATGCAAGACCACAAATAGCGTGCACGTAAAATTGCTTCATTTACAAATCAAATGTTACCATCTACTTGGGAACTTTAAGTTACATGGTGAGCACGCAAGTAATTAGTGTTGTTCGTGAGGTAAATTGGAATAGACTAAACAAAGACTGAAATTGAAGGATTCCATGCTTCCATATGATATTCACAATTCTTACAGAATTATATATCGTCGAGTTGTTCAGTTGATCCAAAGCTCTATGATGACAAATTATAAATTGCTCCAAGGAACAATTTTTGGCTCCTCAAAAAAGCTTTCTACTTTTGCGAAGCTCTATGAAAAAAACAAAAAAAAAAACACCAGAAAACAATCAATAAATTTTAGCATTTCGAAGAGTGCAAATCTGCGTTTGCAAAGGAGCATCGTCGCTGTTCCATATTTTAATTTGTCCAGTAGCCTGTAAAACAATTGACACACCTAATTATCTAATCGTAGTCGATCTTCATTCTGCAAAGTAGAATATCAACTTGGTTTTCTTCATAATTCTCGAATTTAATCCTACCCTTTTGTACGCTTCAGCGGCATAGCATAAGTGTTTGGTACAGGTATGGTTCTTATTTGGCCAGACGCAGTAGAGCCAAAATGCTCCCCAGGGTCGAGACTCTACGAGGTCGATAAGCGGTCGCAGAGTCCAAAATAAGGTACGATTAAATATTTATCGTACCCAAGTTGGCCAAAACTCGGATCGTATCCGTGACTTGATATTGCAGGATCAGTATCAAAACAGTAAAAATGCTTCTGATTGGCTAATTGCGAAAAATATGTTTTATATCTACTATACGAAAACTATCAAGGTTGCTATTGAGAATCTTGTTTAGCTGACATGTGTTTAATTCAGCTTGTGCAGTGTACTCACTGAAAAAGAGGGGCACACCTAGTGGCACATTTCTCATTGACAACATTATTCGGAGAGGATGGTTATAGATTACTCATCCCCAGTCACTAAATTAAGATTCTCAATCGCTCCCTTCTAAAAGTTGTACATAGTTGTACATAGTTTAATGCCAGTGACTAATTCACTTATCAATTCCTTAATTGACTTCGTCGTAACAATGTTATGTCGTAAACAATATACATCACACCAAGGCAAATACAAAATTTGACTTGCTAGAAATGTTAGTTGTTTCCTAGCTCTCAAATAGAGCAATATTCATTAACTTGTTTATAACAATCTCATAACTACGTTCGATGAAGATAAAATAAGTGTTTTTTTTTTTTTTAAAGAGTGGGGAAGTTGAGCTACCACGACGGCTGTTTTGAGAAACAAACAAACAAACGGTTTTTTAAGTATGAAGCTGGACTGTTGCAACCCATTTACTGGGCATATCTGTCAAAACCGTTTAACCTCTGGTTTAGGACCGTGGTTTCATCGTTGTGGCTTTTATACCCTAAAATTGACGCTCGGCGAGATTAAGCAATGACGACGGCGACCCGAGGACAACGCCTAGTAAAAACTAATTTATATTTTACCTTCGAATTTCGCAATTGTCTTCACGTCGTTCGCGTTCTCCAAAATACGTAGAACGTAACCATTGGAGGTTGTTGTTGTGCAGGGGACGGAAAGAAATGTATGACGCTTTATTACGCACGTGCACAGTCATTGTTCCACTCCTTAAACCGTTTGTTTGGTGGCGTTTTCGTTGCCGTTGCCGTCGTGGTTTGCTTTAGCTCTCTAGTATTCAGCACTATGGCTGAAAAGACTACGACTGATTCTACTGGTTAGTTTTGTAACGAATTGATAACTATTAATCCATTTATTTAAAATTTGTAGGCTTAAATTGCAAGCGATTGTAAGTACAAGTAATTTCTTAATTGACCACGTCGTTAAAATATCACAGCGGAAAAGTAAATAATGCGATTAACAGAATGCACTACTTGTAATCAATAAAATGCATTTCTAAATCTTATAGGAATAAATTATAACAACTTATGGGAATATTGTTCTGTTGCTTAGTATTACAGTGTTGAAGTTTGTTAGGTAGATAGCTGTAAGCAAAGTTAAAGTAAAGCATTATTGATTAATAAATAGGAGTTAATTAAATCATTATTATTGTATAATTAATCAATCAGCAAACAAATACACGATTGAAAGACTGATTGAAAACTTTTTCAGTTTTTTTTTCTCATTATTTTAAGTTTGCAAAAGTGAAATATACAATAATGTAACTTCAAAATTTGTTTTTCCACTTAGCATAGGCGCACATTTCGTTCAAAGTTTTGAGAAGTTTATTAGTACATAAAGTCTTTCTCGCATAACGATTTTCATTTTCTCATCACTTGAGTGTTTGTTAATTTAGCAATATGGTTATGGGAAATTAGACATTGATAAGTGGGAATTTAATAACGGGCATCAGACATAGGCGCCGACGGTGCATAGCAGAACTTTTTATTCGGGTTTTCCTTCAACATTCTCAAGTACAATGTGAGGAGAATGTTTACGTCTTTTCGTCGTGTACAGCATAAAATTCCGGTTATAAGCCTCCCTCTACCGCTCCGGTTTTAGCTCCTCGCCCCCTCGCAGATTTAAACCTCATCTATTTTATTATTAATGCATGTTTAGTAGGACTTAAACATCCTCCTGCGGCAGTTTAGTAGCTTCAAAGCAACCCTTTGAATTGAAATGTTGCAAAAAGGTTTAGTATTCAAAGAGGTGTTTAGTTAAAATAAGTAGACGGATTTTGCTACTTGATCTTGTGGTCAAAAGGGTGCTACAATTAGCAATAGAGCTCTGCAACACCGAGTAAAAGATATTGTAAGTTGTTCAAGGGAGGGGATTCGGTGGGTCTTGAAAACCGTTAACACCTTTGAGGCCCACTAGTACCTAGGATGTATTGGATCCCAGTCGGCCTTGATTACCGGTTACACCTCTACGGCCCGTTGATTCTTGATGAGTCCCAGGTTACGTGCACTTCTAAGGCCCCTTCAGTTTCTTTACAACTTTAAAGATTTGACGCCTCTTTAAAGTCAAAATTTTTCATGAATGATTAACTTGTGGTTAAAATCCTAAATTGCCTTTTAGAACCATGCAAGAACATGACTCCTCCAGTTAACGGTTAAAATAACCTTCATCGATTAAGCAGTATGTTGTTTTGATGGTGTGGTGGTTCAGCAATTTTTCGTTTGCGTGAAGTAGATCGAGAAGCATTGGAATCAAGGCCCGTTCGCAGAATTTCTCTCTGTTTTTTCTCTCTCCTCTTCCTTTATTATGGTTTTGAATGACTCAACAACAACAACAACAACAACAAACGACCAGATTTACTTGAAATTTGTAGGTTTCAACAGTTTTGATCTTAGAAAAGAAGTAACTATAGTCTCTGGTATAAAAAAAGAAACAACAACAACAACAAAAACATCCTGAAACTAAGGAAAGTTAATTATCAAACCTCAAGCAGAGATTTCATTAACCAGAAACTTATTACATCCGCAAAAGGTTTTCAGTTATAACAACAGAGAAAGAAAGCAATTTACTCTTAACGATCACTTGTTTTGAGCTCACGATTGCTCACACTTTAAAACTACAATTCGCATAATAATCAGTTTCACGAGCCTCATTAAAAACGTGCGTTGTGGATTAGTTTTAACACCTTTGAATTTCACGATTATACGTGGAATTGTTTTTAGTCGAATTTCACTTTTTTTTGATGGTAAACTAAAATTCATTTCGAAGTAAATGTAGAATAAGTGACTAGCCTTCAATTTAGCGAACAACTTGATATCCGAACTCAGCTTGAATGATATTTCATACTTAACCTTACTTAATTAATTCATATTCTTTTAGCTTTGAGACATGTAGGCAGTCGGAGGGACCCAGTTTTCGCATACGATTAACATGTAACCCAATCCCTTAAGAGACCAATAGAACTGTTTTTTAAACAATCGACTCTCATTAGCAGCCTTCAGCTGCCTAGCTAAACCGGACACACTTCAACCTTCAAGCGCTAGCTGAATTGTACCAACAGCTCCAACAGAAAATAATTGTTCCAAATATCCCAGGAAAAAAAAAATTATCTGACTGTAGCAAGAACTACGTCTTGTCCCGCGACGAGTCTGATGACGATCGACTTGCATATTCGTTGAGCTATCCTCGAGGGACTTAAGCCTCCTGGGTGCAATGCAATTACTTTTCACTTTAATACCAAACTCTGTTAACAATAGAGGCTTGTACAAATGTGATATACACATGTAAAGGCTTCTACGATAACAACCTGCTAGAAGTTGTCGTCGGAAAGTAATGAGTTATGCAGCGCTCAACAATAACTCGGATAAATCCAGTTGCCTCCTATTTCTTACCCTGGGTCCTTGAAGGGAACAAGTATTGATTATGATTGTGATTATTGATTATGCAGATTATGTTCTTTGCGCATTTGTTGACGACAGACGTTGGTCCAAATGGCAAACTAGCAACCGCAATTGTAAAGGCTTCAATTCAAGAATAAACTGCTGTTGACGGCTTAATCATCCATGCGAAGATCAACACCAACTAAGATATATTCCGAAGACGAAGTACCTTCAATTTCTTGCATTGAGCCCTCTAAGGCCTAGGGAACAAGCATGGAAATGCAATCTGCTGGATATGGTAACGGTCAAACGACTCGCTTACCCCTGAGAAAATTTACGAGATTCCGAAAAAAGAAGTAGGAAATGGAGGAGTTTACCACGATGAATTAAGAGGTGATGGAAACAAGAAACTACCAAACATCGCAGATAAACCAGGAAAAGCTTACCTCCCTCAAGAAACACAGGACGATTCAATGATCAGAATGACACAGGAAACACATCAGCAGGTAAAGGTTTTACGTCGCTTAATATATCTGATGGCCCTATTCTTGGTGTTAGTCTTTGTGCTAGCCATAACCGGCTTAGTCCTGGCGTCTCCAGAAACTGTCAGCACGAATCCACCCACTAGTTCACCAGGTACGGACTCGTTTACTTTCAAATCACAGAGTTTACGGATTGTGCTCTAAATAAATGATTCCAACTGCTTCAAAAATGTTCTTGAATAGTATACACACTCTCTTTAATGATAACAGTTTCTTCCGGCCCAGGCTGAATTAATATTCTTACAGTTTTTTAATCGATTTTAATCAGAAAATATTCTTGTGAACATTCTTAGATAATAGCTTATGACATTTCCGTTTTATCGACTTCGATGGCGTTGAACGATAATTTTGGAGCCTCATATGGCCGATATCGGGTCTAATATGGTAGAAATATCTCCTTGCAGAAATATTGTGAGCATCAAACAGACGGCTACTGCTGTGGTTTGGCTAGTTGTGCCATTTGGAGAAAGGCAGAATTGCTATACGGTTTAGTTAAAAACATATCGTTGTATTGTATTAACACATTTTAACAGGCAGATTTTTCTGATTTCACTGATTTTACTCCTTTCAAAATCTCAGCTTCGGGTTTATTCTTGAAATACTCTTAAAGTGCCACTGAAACGAAATTTTCGTACTCTCTTTTTTTAGCCCAATTTATAGTTTCAAACGTGCTTAAAATAATGGTGAACTTTATTTCTGTCAAATCCTAACAGAAAGTGCTCTTTTTAGCTTCTGAAATCGACTTTTTGGAGCAAAACTGTGTCCGGGCTCTGGAACCGAGTTTAAGGACCTTGTGACGTCACTGGTTGTATTCACGTAAGAAGCGCTTAAGATTTTCTCTTGTTTTCACTTGATTTATTTAAGTTTATTCTCCATATTGTCGATACCTTCTAGTTTCCTACCTTAAAATTTCAGTCCAGCCTTGACAGGAAATACACATCATAAACGTTGAAGGGCGCCAAAGAGTGTAGATTCACCAAAATGAATGCTACAGATTAGAACAGCTCAGTATACTTTTCGAACATCTTGAGTACTCGATTGGAGATTTCGAAGACGAGTGTGGCAACTTTTGTATCACGTCCTGAAGCCTAAGCACGATATTTCGTCGTCTGTTTTCAGCCTGGTTCTGAAATTTGGATTTTCACGTTTATCTAAGGTCTATTAACAAGGTTCGAATATATCCTCGGCAATTTTGCTGCATTAAAAGCCGTAAGCGCATCAGCCATCCGCACAATCGTGAAGTTATTAACGGTCCACAAGCTTTGAGTCGAGTACGTTTTTGCACACAGAGAGCATCTTTTTATGATACTAATAAGTGAGAGCTCTTGTATCTTTGAAAATTGTGATCCGCAGCAGGGTTTGCTTTATCGCCGCATACGTATCAGTGTAAACAAAGCGGGAATTTCGCTTCTCCTTTACACGTATCTCCCAATTGCAATATTTCACGACCGATGGATAACTTGGAGTTCTTTAGCACATACTTATGTCTATGATCTTCATTTAATAGTATTCAAGTTCAAAGCAATTCGTTAAACGTCACTAGTTTACACTCCTTTCGATGATTTATTAAACAGAATTTGAACTAATTTGCATATATGACCTTTCGCCGCCGACATTGCCACGCTTTCTCTCATTTCCTGAAAACATATTACTGTAGGGTCATGGCAGCTAAGTTTACCTTTATAGTTTAAATTCGCTTCCTCATATAAAAGAAGAGGGTTTCTTAAATTGTTGCTGTTGTGATAACTTGTAGGATGTAGCAGATACAACTAGATTAAAAGTCACTGTGGCACAATTTCGTCCGCGGTGAAACTCACAAAGCGTCCGGTTTCCTCGAAGCGAAGCGACTCGAAAACTCGAAACGTTGTTGCTGCGATTCGCGCAGTAGCACTCCGGATAATATTTTCAAAAGCCGCTTTCTCTTGTTTTCATGTCTTTTTTTACTTTATGAGTGTAGATATTATTTAATTGAGTGCTGGCCATTTCACTAAGAGTCCCGATCATTTTGCGATCTAAGAACTCCCACTCGTTTGCTTGCTTACATAAAATATCCAATTAAATAGACTGAAAAGACTCTCCACCTCTTCATGTCTAAGGCTATTGGTATTATCTGCTTTACAGCCCTGAGATGTCCTTAAGCTGTTTTTTGGGGGGCTTCGAACAGTATTCTCTTCTCCTATGATCACTCTAAATTTTCAGCGCGGCATGAGAGTAATACAACCAGTGACGTCACTAGGCTGTTTTGGGCGCGCCACGATGGCCGCCAATTTTGGCTTAACCAGCCAACTTCGAACGGCTGTAAAAGCAGTTTTCGCTTACCGTATGCGAAAAAAAAGTCTGCAGTGTTTCCAAGTAAGGTTGAAACTTTATTACTAAGCAAAAATCTCACATACGAAAGTTTCGTTTCAGTGGCATTTTAAAATTTCTCAAATTTCAGCCTTGATACTTTAATAAATTGTATTCGTAGAAAAAGAGTGTAGTCCTGTTGGTTATACTAGTAACAACCGATACTAAACCTACAACTTTCTTCATATTTTTCCACCCGTGTGGAGAGAGTGATGCTCCAAGAGATGAAAGTGAAGATTTCAGAGCTGCAAGATGCATTGAATGTCACTCGCTTGCAGTTGGAAGAACAGAAGTCTGAACAGAAGACGCACAAAAAGGCGATGGCAAACCTAACGATTCAGGTAAAGAAGAGATCATTTCGCCGGGAAAGGTACTAATTATAAATGCTTTACAGTGAAGAGGATCAGTTAACCAGTCTTACCTCAGGGCAAATTTTGCAATAACTCCCGAGTACCGTAAGCTCATATTTCCCGAGATAAATCCAAACTTGTAAATGTAAGGTTTTGCTTTCCTGATTGCAATATTACCGCAAACCACAAAAAAAATAATTTCAATATAATTGAAGTCAGTTATTTTTAGTTTGTTTTCTTATCGGACTAATTCCAAAAGCATTTCTATTACCTATCTATTATTGGACACAAAACTAACATAATTTTCTTTGCGATAAATCTGTCAACTGTATTTTATCGTGCCTCCTTCATGTCTCTTCACACGAGGTTGCTTTTTGTGGCGAAGGTAAAATAGGGAAAACAAATGAGGATTGCGATTTTTTTCTCTGGCCTGACTTCTTGATAACATTGTCTATTAGTTAGAAACATTTCCAAATGTTTGGAAACCGTATAATAAAAACACGTCTCTTGTCTGTTTCGCAGTGAACGAACATCAGCCAGTGCGGATGTCCACCACGTGCTGCGGCAGAGAAGTTTCATCATTCCAATCCGTGCAGCCGGCCAAGCTACTGTAAAACTACAGGAAGGTCCTGAAAACGTTAATTTCCTGATGAAATAAACAGACTACTAAATTTTATCTGGCTGTACTGGACTCTGAATTTACGCGCACGAGTTGACTGAGCTTCTGATCTTTACGTGACTTTAGAGATTCCCCGTCCCTCCCCACCCCCTCAAGATGGTACTGCGTATTTTTAATCCATTCAATCCCAACATGAATACATTTCATTTAAACGCCAGGTTTTAAAAATTTCGAGCTTCAGTCATCATGTACATGAAAATATTCCCCAGTTAACGTTTTCGTTCTTCTCGTCACGTTTCGGTTGACAGCGAGTTGATATGGAAATGAGATATTAGAAGGTGATCTCACTTGAAATGAAAGAGGTTAAGACTTTTGAAAGTAAGGTTGTAAATACCACGTAGAGAATTTAGGAAAATATTTATTGAAATCTTAATTTGGAGTTGTATCCAAGGTACTAAAGCAATAGTTCACTGTGACGTCTGACATTTGTACCACAGTTAGTCTTTTTCTATCAAACTAAATAAGACCGCACTGGTTGTTCTAAGCAATTTATACGCGAAACCGCTCGGAGGTCAATAGTTCAGCCTAGGGTGTATGTGTGGAATTCATTACTACACGCGAATTGGCGTGCTAAGGTTGTCTGAGAACACGTCCGGAAGAACGGCCGCACCACCTATCTACTACAGGCTGACATATTTGCAAAGATTATGCAACGACAAGTAAGATCGAAAGAAAATCCATGCTACGAAATGAGCAGGGCTCATGGAACTCCTCGTAGCCTTCACAAGGCTGATGGTGACAAGGAAAACAAAACAACCGGAAAGGCTAACCAAACGAAACCAAAGCCCACACCGACTATAACGGGGCAAAAAGAACTGGAGAAAATTGTCGAGATTCGTCAATTCGACATGAGTTACGATGGGGGAGTATACGAAGTCATCCCCAACTTTGACGCCAAGACACTTCCAAAAGACAGACAGCCACGGTTCGGGAATGACCACAGGGACGCAATGTACGACACATTGAACACGATAACACAAGCAACGCAACAACAAATGGATTTATTTCGTCGTATGATGTATTTCATGACGGTGCTCCTCTTGATAGTCTTTCTCACAGCTACAAGCAGCCTAATCTTGACTGTCATGATGCTCATGTCGGACAACACCTTGAGTTCGAATCAGCCCACTTCCTCGCCAGGTATGTCACTTACCGTCAATGACATGCGAGTTGCAACAGTACGATTATTGTATCAATCAGGTCATTTAAGGACAACCCGGCTTGTTGCAATTGCCTTTAATAGTCTATAATTTGCACGAAATCAGACATTTTGGAGTAACGTTAACTAAATAGCAACAAGAGGTCGAAAAACTGAAAAGTTGTCAACGATCGCTATTTTTAAATTGGCCTTTTAGTAAACAAACTCGAAAGACCAATTCAATGTTCCTGTGTGTGAAATGTGGTAGTTGATCGAAGCAAGGTCTCCAAAAGGAAGATGCAAAAAAAGATATTTTTTATACGTGACATCGCCAAAACTGTACATTTATAACTTTCTTTTTATCTATTTATATTAAGCCGTTATTTTAACGTATGGTCAATATCAGTGTCATTGATTACTGATTGTGAAGATTTCTGTTTACAGCAGAATGCTTCGTTTTTAGCCGAGAAAAATCGTTTTGAAATCTGACCTGATCTGAAATGTTACAGAAAGTAACACTTTTAGCTTCTCAGTTTTATATATTCTAATCACTTGAAAACGATAACTTTAACATATGGAACTGAAAACTTCTGTCATTGGCAGCAGTTTCTGTTCTTCTTGAAGACCCGCCACGTGGCAGAGTAGCAAACTAACACAAGAATATAGCGGACCCATACAAAGTTCTGTAATTTCTCAAATATTGCTTTTTCCACGATTTGCTTGCAGTAAACACTGCTAAGCTAAAATTTTGGCTGTTTACTGTTCCCCATCTACTCTAAAATCTCCGAATTTGTTGGTGACGTTTTCAATAGATGCACTTAAAAACGATCTTGTCATTTTAGTAAAAGCGATCCATATTAACTTTCGCTTGAGGTTAAGGTCAATTAGAGCGGAAGCTGAGGGGGCCATTCTCACAAGCAAGAAAGCGAACAGTATCTGGCTCCATTCGCTAACAAAACGGGTAGCAATTATGATAAACATTGTTGAAAAGCTTAGAAAAAGCTGGCGTAAAATTTGAATCCCAAATATTTTCATGTACATAATGACTGAAGCTCGAAATTTTTAGCAGCAATTTCGGTGGACCTGGGAGTTTCTCCCGCTTTCAACAAAATATTTATCCACTTTGCGGAGATCTCGAATTTTTCTGTTTTTGTAGATCCTTTGTACCCTATCCAGAACTAATACCCAAATTCCAACTGAGTCCTGGAGGTGGGGGTGGGGGGATCGGTCTGTACCATGGCGGATGCATAGTGAATGATAATCATTGGAAATTTTTTTAAAACATGACCTTTGTGGAAGTACAAGCGCGAGGAGTAGGTCTCTTGTAATACTTTTCATGAGTCCACAAGAGACCTTTGTCATTTCTCAGGAATTNCATTGGAAATTTTTTTAAAACATGACCTTTGTGGAAGTACAAGCGCGAGGAGTAGGTCTCTTGTAATACTTTTCATGAGTCCACAAGAGACCTTTGTCATTTCTCAGGAATTTTCTTTTTACTTTGCTTCTGATTTTCTTAAATGTTTTATCTACTGCTGGCGAATTCTGATCCTTAAGCTGGGACTAGCACAGCTCGAAAATCCTTAAATGACCTATATTTTTCTTTATCACGGAACAACATTGATAGAGGGTCCACAATAGGGTTCTCAGATCCCGCTTTCCCGCCCATTTTTTCCTGTTAATCCCGCCATCCCGCCCTTTTTTGCCTGGAAATCCCGATCCCGCCCACTTTTCAAAGAGGCTTCTGCGTTAATTATTAATTTGCTACATTAACAGTTAGTTTAATTATTAACTCAGAAACTTTGTAAAAATAGATATCGCATAAAAGATCAAAAAAGAATTCAATGGGTAGCATATAAGTAGGCACAAATGATTGTAACGTTTCTTTCTGTAAGCGGTTTACCGTTTTGTTTTCTTGTATTCGCGTATCAGTGAAAGAAAAAGATTGTTCATTCCCATATTCAAGAGATGGTCCGTAAACACACTTGATTGTTTCTTTCAAAGCTTTCAGCGTCTTCACTTTTCTTGAAAACTGGCCTTAGAACGTTTCTCTCTGACTGAAGGCATTCCTGTTCGCGCATCCTTTTCGTAATATATGGTGACGCAATTTATAATGTCGCATACTTCATTCGGTAAATCATTGCGTGACTTTGGCGCTCGTTATCGCGGCGTCGCCGCTTTCTTATCGCGCTCAAATTACTTAAAAACGTGACCGCCAAGCTACGCAGGCTACACAAATGATCGCAATAGGACTCAAAGAGCTCATACAGTCTTATGATACTAAACGATAATGAATACATTTAACAGAACCTGACAGAGTACAGAGCCGTTACTATTCACTCTGTCATTACTAGAAACCTGACACAGCTGTACGCACAAAAGGTTCGTTTCTGCCAACTTGTGTTTTTTTGCGCTGGTCAATGACAATTTATGAGGTCACGTAAGAATTGAAATCCCGTATCTCGCTCTGTTCTCCTCTCGAATCCCGCATCCCAACACCACAAAAACACGAAATCCCGCTCCCGCTCGTAATTGTAATTCCCGCTTCCCACCCCTGTTTTCAGCTCAAATCCCAAATATCACGGCGAAAAAAAGCCAAATCCCGCATCCCGCCAAACCTATTGGGGACCCCATGATACTTTCATCTAAACGTCACTTTGGCCATATTGAATTTATCACTTAAAGTAATGAAGTCGGAACTTCCTCCTTCTTTGCGAACTGAGTCTTATTTCCTTTTTCAACCTATGTGACTAAATGGCGGTAAAGATGATGAAGTAGCAAATTTGAGGATAATCCGTTAGGGAAAAACATCTGATGCCTTATGCTGCTGACGTTTTGCTCCATTCTTTCTTTAGAAACTACAGAAAGTACATCGACCAGATGTGGAGAAAGTGTGTTACTCCAAGAGTTAAAAGTGAAGATATCAGAACTGGAAGAAGCATTGAATCTCTCTCAGAAAGCTATAGCAAACTTAACAACTCAGGTAAATGCAGTTAAACATGTATAAATTGAATTCCGACCCCTAGCTACTGCAGAGAGAAAAGTATTACCCTGAAAAAAAAAAAAAATTGCAAGAATTGTTTACATTTTGTTTCCTCGCGAACTAGTAACTTGTTTTACACCAATCCTTGAAAACCTCACCAATCGCGATTCTCTGTGTTGTTTTGCAGGGATCAAAATGCAGCCAGTGCACAGGTCCGCCGGGTCCCACCGGCCCTCAAGGGTCACCAGGGCCCATGGGACCTAGGGGCTTCAATGGCACTAAAGGAAATGAAGGACCAATGGGCCCTAGCGGCGTAAACGGAAATCATGGCGCACCGGGCATTCCTGGAACCCAAGGACCAATGGGCCCCAGAGGTGTAAACGGCTCTCAAGGCCCGCCAGGGTCCCTTGGAATTCAAGGACCAATGGGCCCAAGAGGTGTAAACGGCTCTCAAGGCCCGCCAGGGTCCCCTGGAGATCCAGGACCAATGGGCCCTCCTGGCAAGGCACTACAGGGTAGCTCTGGAGCCTGGAATGTTAGTCGCTGTCAGCACTGGAACAGCACGACAATTAAAGAGACGGCGACCGACGCAAAGGCTACTGTGCGAGAAGATGCCCATCCGGTATACCTGATAGTCAGTTGACTTGTTTAGATATACATGTGTACTAGGACACACAATCAACAAGCCACAAACCAGCGAAGAGCTCGAGGTCGTTGAAAAAAAGAAGCAATACCCTGTTCCAGGCTCTCCGTCATTGGGGACGATCGAAAAGTCTGGTAGAGCCGCTCGTCCCGCGCCCGCTTTTTCGATCGTCCCCACTGACCGAGAGCCTGGAACAGGCTAAAGAAAAAACAACAACAACAACAACAACACCAAAAACGGCCCAAGAGGCTAGACATTTTCATCATTCCGAAAACATCTGCACAACGCCCGTCGCAGCGTTATCCGTGAAAGGACTGCGTACCGTGTCTATAAAATAACTCAATCCTCTGTTGTAACAAAGTTTTAGCACTTGCACAACACATCCAGTTATAGATCCAATAGTTTTTTTTTTACGCATGGATGATGAAATCAAGGTGACTTCCCTTTACATTGAGATCTGAATAAGGTTTGTGAGACATGCTTATGTCCTCTTTTCAGGGCATGAAGATTGTTGGCGCCACGTGTTCAGCAAAAAACGCAAAAGAGTACGCTTTTCTGGGAGGAGAAATTGACCCGAGCACAAATACGATTGTCTACAACTGCGAATGTCAGAAAAAACTTCATGCTGTTGGTAAATTAGTATGCGTTGTGTATTACTGGATCTGCCCCTTTACCGGTTAAAGAGAAGTGCCAAGTAAAAGCTTGAAGATGATTGTGTATATATCCTTTAAACTGCAGTGCTCGGAATTCATTTTGTTGCACTAAGTAACTGATCATTCATTGACATAAAGTTTGCAATCTATTTCTTCATAGAGTAGACAGGCAAGGCCACAAATACCGTGCTCGTAAAATTGCTTAATTTACAAACCATGTTTCCATTTACTAAGAAACTTAAATCTACACAGCGAGTAACCAAGTAGTTAGTGTTGTTTATAGATGTGAATTGGAATAGACTATTATATATTTTAACACTGAAATTGACGATTTCCATGCCTCCACCTGATACTCACAAGCCCTACAGAGTTATAACCGTCTAGTTGCTCACTTGATCCATGGCTTAGTGATGATGATTTTTAAATTGCTTCAAGGAGAGGTTGGCCCCTCGTGAAATGAGCTACCAGTGCGAAGCTCTACGGAAAAAAAAGAAATAATAATAATAATAATAATAATAAAATGTATTAAATACATTTTAGAATTTCGAAGAGTACAAAAACGCGTTTGTAAAGGAGCATCTTCGCGTTTTCATAATGTTTATCTGCCAGTCACCACTAACACAACTGAAGCACTCGGAGAGTATCCGTGACTCGACATTGCAGGATCAGTATCAAGACAGTAGAAAGCCTTCTGATTGGCTAATTGCGAATTTGAGTAGAGTAATATGTTTTATATCTACTATACGAAAACTATCACAGTAACTATTGAGAATCTTGTTCAGCTGACATGTCCGTTTAATTCAGCTTGCGCAATTCATTCAATGTAAAAGAGGGGCACATTTGTGGGCACATATCTCATTGACAAAATTACTCATGGTTGCTACAGGCATCACTTTTCAAAATTCCCTGACTTTTCCCTGATAAAAATAAAACTTCTCTGACTAAATAAATACAAAATGTCAGATCTAGTAGCAGCTATTAGCTTCAACTTACAGCCGTCCTTTTTACACCTTCATTAAGACTGATAAATTTTTGACAAATTTTCTTTCTTCGTTAAGGAAAAATATCGTTGAGATCACAGTGACGCCAAATGTTTCTTCCAGCCTTCAACGGTATTAAATCAGCCGTGTTACGTTATTTCAATTTCCCCTGACTCTAAATAAAATTCTCTGACTTTTCCCTGATCTTGAAGACATATTGTTTTGACCATTTCGTGACCTGTGGCGACCTTGTTAGTCGGAGAGGATGGTTATACACTACTCGTCCCTAGTCTCCATTCGATAAGAAGCAGAAACCGAACAAAGACTTAAGAAAAGTTGGGGTTTATAGTAATACCGGTTTGCTTGAACCTTTTGTGTCAAGTATATAACAGCCTGGTATGAATTGTTGGATATTATTTAGGTTCTCAATCGTTTCCTTCTAAAAGTTGTACATAGTTGTACATAACTTAATGCCGATGACTAATTTCCTACTAATTTCCTATCAATTCATTAATTGACTTCGTCGTAACAATGTTATGTCGTAAACAATATATATATATATTAATCACACCAAGGCAAATTTCGACTTACTTTAAATGTTCTTTGTTTCCTATTTTTTAAATAGAGCAGTATTCATTGACGTAGTTATGACAATCTTATAGCCATATTCGATGTACATAAAATACATAGATTGTTTTTCTTTAAGATTAGGGAAGTTGAACTAGCGCGACGGCTGTTTTGAGAAACAAACTAACGGTTTTTTAAGTATGCAGCGGGATTGTTGCAAACCATGTACTGGAGAACCGTTAAACTTCTGGTTTAGAACCGTGTTTTCGGCCAGCGTTTTCATCGTTGTAGCTTTGATTCCCTAATATTGACGCTCGGCGACTTTGTTAAAACAGTAGAGAGGTTAAACAATAACGACAACGACCACGAGGGCAACGCCTAGTACAAAATGAACCAACATTTTACCTTCGAATTTCGCAATTGTCTAGATCTGTTAAGTGCGTCTTTTTGTCTCAGAACTTGTTCAAGCTAAATATGTGACGGCATCGTTTAATTCCGAATGAAAATACGTCGTTCGCGTTCTCCAAACTACGTAGAACTTAGCCATTTCACGTTGTTGTTGTGCAGGGGACGGCAAAGAAATGTATGACGCTTTATAACGCACGTGCACAGTCATTGTTCCACCCCTTAAACTGTTTGTTTGGTGACGTTTTCGTTGCCGTTGCCGCCGTGGTTTGCTTTAGCTCTCTTGTATTCAGCACTATGGCTGACTTAAAGACTACGACTAATTCTACTGGTTAGTTTTGTAACGAATTGATAGCTTTTAATCCATTTATTTAAAATTTGTAGGCTTGAAATGCAAACGATTGCAAGTACAAGTAATTTCTTAAGTGACCACGCTGTGAAAATATCACGGCGGAAAAGTTAATAATGAGATTAACAGACTGCATGACTATTTATCAACAAAATGCATTTCCAAATCGTATAGGAATAACGTATAGCAACTTATAGGAATATTGTTCTGTTGCTTAGTATTACAGAGTAATGAAGTTTGTTAGGTAGATAGCTATAAGCAAAGTTAGAGTAAAGTATTACTGATTAATAACTAGAAGTTAATGTAAATCATCATTATTATTATTGTATAATTAATCAATCAGCAAACAAATACACGATTGCAAGACTGATTGAAAACATTTTCATTTTTTTTTCTATTATTTTTACTTTTTATATTAAAGTTTGCAAACTTAAAATTCCTCGCAGATTTAAGCCCTCATCTATTTTATTATTCACGCCTGTTTACTAGGACTATAATATCCTCCCTTTTCTTTAAGCCTGCGGCAGTTTATTAGCGTAAAGCAGCCCTTTGCATTGAAACACTGCAAAGAGATTTAGTATTCGAAGAAGTGTTGTTAAATAAGTAGACTGACCTTTTCATAGGACTACAAGGATTTTGCTACTTCTTGTGGTCAAAAGGGTGCTACAATTAGCAATACAGCTCTGCAACACCCAATGAAAGATATTGAAAATTGTTCAAGGGAGGGAATTCGGTGGGTAACACCTCTAAGGCCCAGTAGTACCTGTGATGTATGCGATCCCAGTGGGCCTTGATTACCAGTTACACCTCTAGGGCCCATCGATCCTTGATGAGTCCCAGGGTACGTATACTTCTAAGGCCCATTGTCCCTTCAGTTCCTTTACAACTTTAAAGCTATGACGCCTCTTTAATGTCAAAATTTTTCATGAATTATTAACTTATTGTTAAAATCCTAAATCGACTTTTAGAACCATGCAAGAACATGACTCCTCCAATTAAACGTCGAAATAACTTTCGTCGATGAAGCAGTATGTTGTTTTGATGGTGTGGTGGTTTAGCAGTTTTTCGTTTGTGTGAGGTAGATCGAGTAGCATTGGACACAGGGCCCGTTCGCAGAATTTCTCTTTTTTTTCTCCCTCCTCTTCCTTTATTATGGCTTTGGATGACTCGACAACAACAGACGACGAGATTTACAGTACTTGAAATGAATGGGTTTCAACGGTTTTGATCTTGGAAACGAAGTAACTATAGCCCCTGAAGCTAAGGAAAGTTAATAGACTTTTTTTCTACTGGTTGGTTTGTTGCCCCATTTCAGACCATGTGATGATATTCTTGGGAATTACTTTCACATTTTCAAATAGTCGTGCGCATATGAAGAAATAATTTTTAGATAAAAAAAAAAACAATTCTCTAGAGAAAATCAGGTGGTCTGTAATGGAAAACAAACCGCCCAAGCGGAAAAGGTCTGTTAGCAAACCTTTAGCTGTGTTTCATTTACCAGAAACTCATTACATCCGAAAAAGGTGTTTTCAGTTATAACATCAGAAAAAGAGAGCAATTTACTCGTAACGATCATTTGTTTTGAACTCACGATTGCTCTCACTTTAAAACCACAATTCGCATGATAATCAGTTTCACGGGTGTCATTAAAAACCTGCTTTGTGGGAAAGTGAAGTGGATCAACAACAACAACAACAACAACAGCAACATTAACACCTTTGAATTTCATGATTATACGTGGAATTGTTTTCAGTCGAATTTCACTTGTTTTCTGATAGTAAACTAAAATTCATTTCGAAGTAAATGTAGAGTAAGTCACTACCCTTCAAATTAACGAGCAACCTTGTGATATCCAAACTCAGCTTGAAGGATATTTCACACTAAAGGAAAATTTTCACGAACAAGGAAACCTTACTTAACTCATATTCCTTTAGCTTTCGTACATCAAGGCAGTTGGAGACACCCAGTTCTCGCTACGATTGGCATTTAACCCAATCCCTTAAGACAAATAGAACTGCCTTTGAAACAATCGACTCTCATTGGCAGCCTTCAGCTGTCTAGACCGGACACACTTCAAACTTCAAGCGCTAGCTGAATTGTATCAGAATTAGTTTTTCTCTAACAAAATAATTGCATCAAATATCCCAGAAGAAAATAATCTGACTGTAGCAAGACCTCCGTCTTGGCCGTTAAAAAATCTGTCCCGCGACGAGTCTGATAACGATCGACTTGCATATTCAGTGAGCTATCCTCAAGTGACTCAAGTCTCCGAGGTGCAATTCCTCCGTAGGAAAAACGATGGTGACTGGTATATTTACTCACAGTTCTTAGCGCACGAAAACCTTAACAGCGTTCATAAAAACGCACAGAAACGTTATACAATCTTCAAACCTAGGCTACTGAATGTCCTTAGTACAGGGACATATATTGTAAAAACTTGTTTTTCTTTGTGCCTTTTAGGCTGTGTTAGGTTCGCAAGGCCTTGTGGTGACATGTACATCCACCATCCTTTTTCCTACGGTGGATTGCTTTTCACTTTAATACCAAACTCTGTTTACAATAGAGGCTTATAGAAATGTTATATACACATGTACTTTTACGATAACAACCTGCAAGAAGTTGTCGTCGGAAAGTAATGATTTATGCAACGCTCAATAATAACTCGGATAAATCCACAACATGAGTTGCTTTCTATTTCTTACCCTGGGTCCTTGAAGGGTACAAGTATTGATAAAGCAGATCATGTTCTGTTGTTTTTAGTTTTGCACATTTGTTGACGACAG